CTCCCACTCCCACTCCCACTCCCACTCCCACTCCCACTCCCACTCCCTTGCCCCTCACCCACTCACCCACTGCCACGCTCACATGCAAGCATGGCATCCTTTCAAACATGGCACAAGCGCAGTGCTATACTGCTAGCCTTTTGGACCGCCGTGGTGCTCTCCCTTCCAGCATGGTGGTACCTCACCAGCATCCAGCGACTGGCTCTGCCTCAAGAGCGCGTGCAAGATTGGGTGCAAAGGGGCCATTGTCCCATTCGCATCCCGCTTGCCATTGTCGTGGAGGTGGGTGTGGGGGGTGAAGCAGGGCAAAGTGCATCTGCATCTGCATCTGCGCATGCATTGCGGCATGAGCTGGCAACGCTCTTGCACTCGACGCGCACTCCTACGCCCAATTGCGAGCAGGTCATGCAAGTGCAAGTGGTTGCAGAAGGAGAAGCACAACCAGCGCAAGCGCAGATCAGCCATCAGCACGGAAGCGCACACCTCATCACCTTGTCCCTCTCTGCCAGCGCACCGCTCAGCCTCGCCAACGACCTTGCATCCTCCTCCTCCTCCTCCACCGCCAGCATCGCTGATCAAGCGCACGCCATTCATCAAGCCATCTGCAAGTTGCTGCAGCTCGAAGCGATCCCCACCTCCATCTCTGCCCGCGAGATCCCTTACTCTCGCAGAGTGCGAACTGTCTGGCACTTGCTCAACGAAGACGCCTCCGTCAGCCGAGCCAGCAATCATACCAGCTACTCGGGTCTGAGAGGGTGGGATGCGCAGGCTCTCAATCATGCCCTCATCCGCCACATCGGTCCCATTGCCCATCATCTCGATGCTATTCACGATATCGCTACGGAATCGCAAGTCAAATGGTACGCACCTCTTGACTTTCAGCCTGTCGAGATGCACGTGCCTGGCGAGAGCGTGCCAGAGGTGCTGGCAACTGTGGCACAGGCGCAGAGGCAGCAGCGCGACCACCAGAGCGCGGATGATGATGATCAGGTGACGCGCGATGCGAGCACGCAAGACGAAGCGTCAAAGGCGCGTGACAGCGACGAGTCGGCGGATGCGGAATCATTACCGAGCGAGGAGCAGCAGCAGCTGGTGACCGGCATTGCGCTTCCAGAGCTTCCGCAGCCAAAGAAGGTGCACCTGATCACCCCGGATGATCTGACCGTCTTTGTCAATAGCGCTGCCTGGGGTCTATCATCACCCTCACCGGCGGGCGAGTACGAGTTTCCAAGCGCTCCTTGGACCAAGCGTTTGGAAGAGGCGCAAGAACATGCATGGGGCTCCGAGGAGTTGGAAGAAGAGAGGACGCTTCATTTCGTCCTTTTTGTTGCTGCGCCTCATCACCGACCGCTGCTCATCCAGACCCACAACTCCACGGCAGCTTCCAACTCTAGCGGCTTCTTGCTACCTCAATGGGGAGGCGTCTTTCTGCACAACATTGCAGAGGTGCAGGCGGCTTCAGATGTTGGGGATGCGCTAGCACCCGCGCTAGGCTCCGACGATCTGGACCCGGCTATGCGCGTCTTTGCTTCCCAATTGAGAGCACTCTTGGGTCTGAGAATACCAATCTCGCCCCGAGGTAGTACGCAAGGGCAGAGGGAAGCGCGCATAGCAGTAGCTCGTCAAGCTCTGCTTCGAAGACGCATCGCAGAGACTGCGAGGGAGGCGGTCAGGACGCTGGATGGCATCATCAAGCTTACGCACAAGATTGAGAATCTGGGAATCGGACCGAGGGTCAGGGATGATGTGATGAGCGCATTGGATGCGTTGGATCAGGTGAGTCGAGCCGGACCGGAGACAATACATCAGCGAGACACTCTTCTTGGAGTGCCGCGCTGCTCTGACAGAAACGCCATGCTGCCCCCTCCTTCCACTCTGCTTGGACGCAGCTCGAGATGGAATTTCGATTGCAAGATTCCTCTGCCGGATCGACGTCCGAGCGACTATCTCGGGCGCTATCGCACAGCAGACGAGCAGCATCTCACGCTTCCAGAGCATTCTTCAATAGAGACATGCTAGCACTGCTCTACTTTCCCGCAGAGCACAAGTATGCCGTGTACACGCCATTATTCGGACCTGTTGCTGTACCCCTCTTGGTCGCTTTGGCTAGATTGGCAAAGGAGAGGCGCAAAGCGAGAAGCGCGGAAAAGGAAAAGGAAAAGGAGAGCAGCAAAAAGGAGCGGTGAAGCGTGTGAAGAGTGGTAAGCTGCTGCGTCAGCATGTGGCTTCGCGCGCCGCGACCCAGGCTTTCAGATGGACAGAACAGCAAAAACTATCGTGCAGCCCGTCGTCGATTCATTCGTAGCGTCTGATTGTGACAACATTTTCATTTGGCGATGGCGCAAGCCGTCCTCGTGGTCGCATAGCATGCATGCATCGCATGCATCGCACGTCGTCCGTCGCGATGACCCTGATCACAAGCATGTGCAGATCGTTGGTAAGGGTGATGATGACTTTTTGCAGCTAGCGGTGCGAGAGTGGAGGGAAGGGGCAGGGGCCCAAGGAGCCGCCTAAAATGGCAAGCCCGTGTGCACGTTTTCTTGTTCCCCCCAAAAAAGCCGCCCGCCGCCGCCCCCCCAAGATTTCTCTTCATCCCAATTTGCAAGCGACGGAAGGCAGTTGGCTGGCGATGACGTAAGAGGCTCGTTCTTCACCATTGATGAGGCAGCTAGCGGTCAAGTCTAAGAATGCTCCATCGAATACGCCCTGTTTGCCTGATCCGCTTATGTTGGACTGAGCAGAA